CTAATATTTGAAACTTCAAATTGATCCTCAAACGTGACCTATTTTGTCCTGATGGTGGCACTAGAGGAAAAGTCAAGGATTTGAATTCTTACCATTCATCCTGTGGGGGACATGAATGTGTGTAGCCAGTTTTCGTGACAATCTATCAAGCAGTTGTCAGGACATTTAACTAATAAACTAAACGTCAAGAGGTGACGTCTTTGTGAACCATATAATATATATATATAATATAAATCTTCTGTAGTGACTGTGTCATTACACACTATACTCACTATAGAGCTGTTTAGGAAAGGATGCAGTTGATTGCATTTTGAATAATAATAATTTGACATGGTAGTTTTTATCGTGCCTTCAGGCTGGGAGATGCAGGAGAGGGGGCGCTGGTGAGGCACGAGGGCCGAGGCTCTGAAGGTTTCCTGGAGCATGTGTTCAAGCATGCCGCCAAAGAGCTCTTTGGTCTGGACGTCCATGAGATCACGTACAAGACCCTCAGGTGAGAAACACTGGGACTCTGATACTTAGTGTCATGGAATATACTGTGGCTTTCTCTGACGCCCATTAGAGGTGTAACCACTCTCAAAGCGAGAGTGACTCCGAGACACAGACATCCACATTCATAATACAGAACTACAGCAACACCACAACCTGCTCCCTCTGCTGCAAGTGCCCCCAGTTGAACTCTTACTTTAACAATATTTAATAAATAAATATTTTTTCTTTTAGAATTAAGACCATAATACATGTAAATCATGAAATCAATATGCGATTTAATGTCCAGACAAGCTGCATCATTTGTAAATAGCACAAACTTGGTTGGTTGCTTGAGCGATTACACCTTAACTTATCTAACCAAGGTTACCAAGTGCTTTGCAAAAAACATAAAGTAAAACAACACAGAACCAAACAAGAGAAAACTAAAATACGATAGATGACATCAAGAAAATATTACACCCCTCACCTCACCCTCCCCTTCCAAACATGACAGAGAACCTGTTGTAGCCTTCAGTTGTCATAAAAACTCAAAAGGTGTTTGGTTTGTCCAGTCTGGGCTACTATAAAAAGAATGGTGGCTTCTATATCAAGGACCCGCTCCCGATGTAGATATAAGTAAGTATTTAAATATAAAGGGCTCATTACACTTTAGGGAAAACATCATTAGGAATATTTTATATTCAATTTCTGCCAATAGTCGTAAATCTTACACAATGGACCTTTAAGCATAATGATTTAAAAACAGGTCAAATGCGGCCAAGTCTAATCTTCTCAGGCAATGAATTCCAGAGCCTTGGTGCCCTGATTGCAAAAGCCTGGTCTCCCTTAGTGACCAGCCTCACACACACACACACAAACACA